CACCCCTCCTTCTTCTGGAAGGCAGCACCTGCCTGGGCCTGGCTCCCAGGAGCCTCTTCCTCCCCAGGTGGTTAGCAGCCTCACCTGGGCAGCAGGCGCCTCTGGGGCACACAGCCCGGCAGGGCACAGGTAGGGACACTCCTGTCCCCTTCCCGCCCAGTGGAGCTCTCCAGGCTGGACTCCCCAGTGCCCTGGGGCAGGCGCGGGGTGACAGGACGGGGCACCATTCAGAGATGGATGCCCAGGGATGGAGGAAACCAACCTGGCTGGGAAAGTCCCTGAGGCTGGTGACGCATGGATGCTGCGAATCAGGGCCAGGGCAGTGGAAAAGCTCCCAGAACTAGAGAAAGCTGAGGGGGCAGGACAAGGCTGCCCCACAGGCTGTGGCCTCGGGTGGGGAGCTAAGCCATGGCAGAAGCTGGGCAGCCTGAACGCCCCAGCCACCAGGTGCTGCTGCCCACTGGCCTCATGGTGGCACTTCCTGTTGGTGGGACACACACACACCCGATTCTGGGCTTTTTGTTCTGTTTTTTGAGACAGAGTCTCACCGTATAGTTCAGGCTGTCCTGGGACTCACTATGTCACCCAGGCTGGCCTTGAACTCATGGTGGTCTTCCTACCTCAGCCTCCCAAGTGCTGGGATCACAGGTCTGCACCACCTCAGCCAGCTGGACTCCAGGCTGGTCACTTTCTGTCCCTGGGACAAAACACCCAACACCCTTAACTCGAAGAGGACCAGGTTATGTTGATTCATAATTCCCGAGGATTCAGTCCAGGCCTGGGAGGGGGAAGGTGCTCAGCCCGGGGGAGCCCAGAACCAGGGCGAGCGGCGCCCCGCCAGGCCGGGCCCAGCAGTGTCCGTGTGCGACCTCCCTGTTCCCCCACACCACTGCACGTGCATACAGAGCTCTGGGCTCCTGGGGTCCCCAGCTTCCGAAGTGCTGGTGCCGGGAAGCCAGCCACGGAACAGAAGCCCAGAGAGGGACCCTGGGCGCATGGGTCACGGAAAGCTGCAGATGGGAGCGGGTCTCGGCAAATACCGACTTCCCCCAGCAAGCGAGCCAGCGCTTCCCGGTGCCAGCAGTGTCCCGGCCCTGACGGCCTGGTGCCCCTTGGCCTCCCAGAGCGAGGGAACTCAGGGTCACACCCTGGCTGAGGCTGCGGCTGGCCAGGGGTGCAGCGGCCTCTAGCCCCAGGAGGCGGAGGAGCCGGGGACTCTGAGACTCGGCAGGGGCTTTTCACAGGCGCTGACTCGGGGCTGGGGGTCCCATCTGGGGTGCGCTGCCCACCGAGGAAGGACCATGCTGGGTGCCTCCCCCACCCCCAGGAAGTGCGGCCGGGGGCTCAGACGGGAACCCCCGGGAACCACTGCCGCCTCCGGTCCCCAGGTTCGCCAAGTACTACAAGATGGAGAATGGCAGCGAGTACCGCACGCTCATGAAGGCCTTCGGCATCCGCTTCGACGTGCTGGTGTACGGTAACGTGAGTGCGGGACAGGGTGCGGCCCTTCTCCGCCCGCCCGCGCTCGCCCGGCCCGCGCCCACCGCTCTCTGTGCCCCAGGCCGGCAAGTTCAACATCATCCCCACCATCATCAGCTCCGTGGCCGCCTTCACCTCCGTGGGAGTGGTGAGTCCCCAGGCAGAGACAGCGCGGGACAGGGGCCGCGGGAGGGGGAGGAGGCGCTCCCCAGGTCCCCTGCTGCTCCCGCCTCTGTCCTGCGTGAGCCCCTTTCTGTCCCCAGGGCACCGTGCTCTGCGACATCATCCTGCTCAACTTCCTCAAGGGCGCGGACCAGTACAAGGCCAGGAAGTTTGAGGAGGTGAAGGGGCCGGGTGGGAGCGACCTCACAGCCTCTGCGCCTGCCTTTCCCAGGGGCTGCGTGGGGCTCCAAGTCCTGAGGGCCCCGTTGGGGGGCCTGGGGTCCCGGGGCCATCGCATCCAAGTTCCCACCCGCACGTGGTCGTTTCTGGGCCTTGGGATGCCAGGCGGCTCCTCCGGCTCAGGCCACGACAGCACCGCCCTTCCGCCCCCAGGTGAATGAGTCCACGCTGAGGGGCCCCAGCCCCACGCACCCCCTGGACCAGGCCACCGAGGAGAAGCAGTCCACAGACTCCGGCGCCTACTCCA